CCTAACCCGCCACCGTGCTTGGGTTGTGGGTTTGATGTCTCTTGTATGTGTGTCGGGGTGTCCTGGGAAGCTTCTCGGATGCCTGTTGGACGCAGTTCGGGGACCTTTCCGGGACAATTACGGGGCCTGTTGGACATCTTGGGGCCTATTGGGGTCCCTCTGATGCCTCCTGGGGGGCCTCTGAGAGGCCTCGTGGGCTTTCTTGGGAGCCTCTTGCGCTGGAAGACTCGAAGTGTTGGGTCGGGTTCCCTCTCTGGGGCTTCTGTTGGGGCCGTCTTGGGGCCCTCTCGGAGCGCTTGGGTGCCTCCGAGGTAGTCCTGGAGCCCTCTTGGGCCGTCTTGGGGCCCTCTTGAGTAGCCTTGGGGTTCCTTGGGCAGTTTTGGGGCGCTCTTGATAGCCTCTTTGGCCGTCTTGGTGCGATCTTGGAGGCCTCTTGGGCCGTCTTGGAGCGTCGGAAACCCGAAAAGGCGAGCATGTCAAAATCCGTCAAACAATATCGGACAACATACGATTTTGACCTCATGAGCTCCTCGTGGAGATGCTGTTGGAGTGCTCTTGGGGCCTCTTGGGAGGCCTTTTGGGCGCTCTTCGGGCCTCCTGTGAACTCTTGGAGACGTCTTGGGCCGTCTTAGAGGTCTCTTGAAGGCCTCTTGAGCCGTCATGACGCCATCTTGGGCCGTCTTGGGTACATCTTGGGCTGTCTTCGAAGTATCTTGCAGCAATCTTGGGCTCTCTGGCATCCGGGGTGGCACTTTGCTGTGTTTCCCACGACCCGACCCTTCCCGGAAAACGGAGCAGAGCGCGCCCCCCCCCCCACCCCCCGACCCCCCTATCCCGGCAGAGTCACCCCGACACCCACCCCCCAGCAGAGCAGAAGCTCAGGACCTGAAGCTGAGGCTACATCTAAGGCTCTTTCAAACTCACACGCTGGATCGGCGGATTCTTATTTTTTCCTTCACAATCTGCCTGTAGGAGGACATGCCCGACCTATTCTTACTCATTGTTTTGCCGATCGGCGCGGGCCCTCGCACCCCCCCTCCCCCTCCCCCCCATGGAGTAGATCTTGGCTGTTTTTTGGGCGCCTTCGTCACGCAGGGGGGGGTACCCCATAGGACGCACTGTTGCAAACAGTCGCGCTAAGCAGAGGTGCGAAGCCAGAACCCCCCTCCCTCTCCCCCCCTTGCCGCCCAATGTCGAAACGCCGAATACGAAAACGTTCACGTTTTTCTCCCCCAGCCCCCAGATCGTCGACGAAACATGAGGCCGCTCAGAAAAGGAGGGACACCCGTGGATACACACCAAGGGAGTTATTCGGACGCACCCCTATCGAGGATGGACGCCCCTCCATCGTATATCCCAGGGTTGGGCCCCGGATTTCTGGTCCATTCGAAAACCCCACGAAGCCTGGGATAGGGGTCGACATTCCCCAATCAGTGCTTGCACTGAAGGCGTCCTAGCGGAAATTGAAAGATGTGGCGAAAGTTTCCCGCCGATTTTGGTGGCCGGCTGGGTTCCCTGGTTCCCGGTTCTGGGTTCCCGGGTTCCTGGTCATTGGTTCCCTTCTTCTCTTCCTCCCGCCTCCTCTTCCATCCCTGCTTCTCCTCCTCCTCCGCCTCCTCTTCCTCCTCCTCTTCCTCCTCCTCCTTTTCCTCCTCCTCCTCCTCCGGCATTTCTTGTCCTTCTTACTCATCCTCTCCCTGGGGCGCCCCCAGATGTGTCGGTAGGTCGGCCTGGGCGTTTCGCCTCAGACCGTCTCACCGTTTATGCTTCTTGAGCTTGGGACTTGGAGCAGCTTCGAGGATTGAGGGTTTCAAGGTGTGGTGGTTCTCGCCTTCGCGCCGCGCACATTCCTCGTGACTGTTTGCAGCATGTTCAAGGATGGAGGGCGGGCCGTTTTTATATACAAAGCCGTGGTTCTTGCTGTAACGCCCCGCACATCATGATGGAGAGCGGCTCCTTGTCAACATGTGGCTCTTTCCTCAGCGCCGCACACATTCGTCTGAAAAGGTTTGTAGCAGTTTTGAGGGTTCGTATGGTTGAAGTCCCAGGAAGAGTGTTCTGCCACGGCTTAGGATCGTCAGGACGCAACAATGACGTCGATTCTCGGTGCTGAAGTCCCAGGAGCGCTGTTCTGGCATGTCTTGATTGTGTCAGAACGCCAGGGCCACGCTCATTCCCAGCGTTGAAGTCCCAGGGATGGTGCTGTGGCATGAATGAGGATTCTCAGACGGTTGTTTCTTCTGGGGGTACTTCCCGCAACTACTATATATGCTTGTAGGAGCCTGTGAAGATGGAGCTTGGAGGAAGGGTTTACGGCAACATGGCTGATGCGTCTTGGGCTTGCAGCTTGCACAGGTCCTCCTCCTGCTTCTCCCCTTCTTCTTCCGTCCCTCCATCCCTGCCCCCCCTTCCCTTCTTTCCTCCCTTCTCTTGCCTTCTTTCCTGCTGCTCCTTTTCCTCGGATCCCCCTTCTTCTCCTCCGCCCTGTTTCGCCCTCCTCCTCCCGCCCCCTCTCCCTCCTTGTCCTCCTGTTCCTCACCTTCCTTCTCCTCGCCTGGCTTCTCCTCAGTCGTCTTCTCCTCCTTCTCTTTCTCCTTCCCTCCTCCTCCGCCTCCTCCTTCCCTCATCCTCCTCGTCCTCCTCCTCCTCCGCCTTCTCCTCCTGCTCCTCCTCCTGCTCCTCCTCCTTCTCCCCCTCCCCCTCCTCCTTCTCCTCCTCCTCCTCCTTCTCCTCCTCCTCCTCCTCCTCCTCCTCCTCCGTGCTGTCCGTTGCTCCACGCAAGCCGCCCAGCCAGGGCCCAGCGCGATCCACTACGCCGCCTGCCCCAGGAGGGCCCCGCCGCCGCGGAGGGCGCTGCGGGGAGGGGGCGGGGGGTCCCAGCGGGGCGGGGCGGCAGCGCAGCCGTCAGAGGAGAGGGCTAGATGTGTTTTGGGGGGGGGGGCGGGGGCGGGGAGAGGGGGGGGGCCCCCAGGCCCTCTGGCCAGACCACGACTTGGGCGGCCGAGCTTCGGGAGGGGGGGGGGAGAGATTCGCAGGAAGGACAGCGAGGCCACAGGGCGGCTCCACAACGCCCCCGTCGCGCGGCCCAGAGAGGAGAGGGCTCCGAGTGGAGGCGAGCGGGAGGGGGGAGGGAGGGAGGGGAGGGGAGCGAGGGTGCGGCCCCAGACCCCCGACGTCATAGGTTTTTTTCCCTACCTAGGCTCTGCCTAGAAGGGTTTTTTACTTTCTTTGCTTAAAAGGGGCCGGGCAGTGCAACGCGCCCCGGGCGGTTCCCCCAGTCCCCTGGGAGCGGTTCCCCCAGTCCCCTGGGAGCTTTAGCTTTAGCTTCAGCTTAGCTTCAGCTCAGCTTTAGCTTAGCTTCAGCTTAGCTTTGGCTTGGCTTTAGCTTCGCTTCAGCTTAGCTTTAGCTTAGCTTTAGCTTAGTTTTACTGTTACTACTAATGCTGCTTTCCTAGGGGCTCCAACTCCTAGGTAGGTTCGCACTGGGATAATTACATATTGTCGACCCCCAGATGTCTGGACCCCTTCCCAGGGAGGAGGAGGAGAGGGAGGAAGAGGAAGATGAGGAGGAAGAGGAGGAGGAGGAGGAGGAGGAGTAGGAGGAGGAGGCGGAGGAGGAGGAGGAGGAAGAAGAAGAGGAGGAGGCGGAGGAGGAGGAGAAGGAGGAGGAGGACCTCCCAATCCTCCCTTCTCCCCCGTCCTACCTACCCAGACTCCCGACGTCATGATTTCTTCATAACGTCGACCCCTAGAGGTTTGGACCCCCTCACTGGGACCGGTTTGTCACCCTGAGTCGTTTTTTGGCGCTCCCAGGGCAGGGCAAGGGCCCCCGGAGGCCGAAAATGGTGAAAAACCTCCCGTCGTGATCTTTTCACAACGCGAGGGGGCTTGGGCGGAGGGGAAGGCCAGACGGTTCAATCGATTCCGCGGGGCTGCGTGCGGGGCTCTTGTAGCCGGCGGGCCTCTGCCGGTGTATGCTCGGAGCAGCAGCGGGCCTGCGCTCGTGCCGCGCAGGGTCGGCCGGCTCCGGACTCGCTCGCCTGGCCCCAGCGGCCCTTCGTTGATGGGCGAATTTTCCACCACCCCTACCGTACCCAGACCCCCTCGGGTAATGACAAAATCATGACGGGAAGTTTTTCTGAATTTTCGGCCTTTGGAGGCCCTTACCGGCCCTCGGGACCGTCAAAAAACGACTCAGGATGGAAAACTGGTCCAGGGGAATTGGTCGAGACTTCAGAGGGTCGACGTTATAAAGAAATCATGACGTCGGTGGTCTGGGTAGGTATGACGGGGGAGAAGAGAGGATTGGGAGGTCCTCCTCCTGCTCCTCCTCCTCTTCCTCCTCCTCCTATGGTAGTGCTGGCGGGGAATCGGCCCATCATTCGTCCTGCAATGGAGTGGGTGCTCGGGCCCCGGCGAGAGGGGGACGGAGACGGAGACGGGGAGGAGAGGGGTGAGAGGACCCTGAGATCCTGGCGTCGCAATTTTTTCACATCGGGCGCTTTCGCTCGATTTCGGGCCCTGGGACCCTCGCAGATCGAACCGGCTCGGAAAATGATGCAGAACGATGGGGTCTAGGGCTCCAGGCGTGACTTTTCACGATGGTGCAATTTTCCCTACGTCGGATTTCAGGGGAGGGACAGGGATAGGGGCACGGTTGCTAGGGGGGAGCCAGGGGGGGGAGGGAGGGGAGAGGAGATGCAGAGAGCGGACGGGAGAGGGGCCAAATTTCTGAAGATCGCATGCTTTCAATGCTCTTGATCTCTTGAGCCTCTCGGGGAGGTTGTTGGAGGCCCCGCGCCTGGTGTCTTCTTGGCAGCACCACATATGAATCCTGGTCGCAGTTCCTTTTCGTCGATGTCGGACTTTTGGGCATCTTTACAAAGCTGGCGTGGGCCATTTTTGGGGGCCACACTAGTAGTCAACAGCGAAGGGGAACTCGTCTACGCCATGTGCGGGGCGGTGCCCCCTGGTGAAGGCGCCAGATTCGATCGCTCGAGATGGTGAGGACGTTGCGGTTCGCTAGTTGGGGATCCATGCTATCGTCGAGGATGGGTTTGCGATTCATGCGGATTGCAACGCGACGGTGTCGGTGGCCTTTCGTCTTCCAGGCTTGGCCAATGAGAATCAGAGCCGTTGCCACTGGTTGGCCGAAGCAGGGGAGCCCATGCCCGCCAGTCCCAACGTGCTGTCCAAGAATCCGTAGCCATTTTGGCTCAAGCTTGGTGAGATCGGCCCTTAGCTGCTACGAGTCACCTGCGAGCTTGCACATCAGCCCTCTGCAATGGCTCTGCGCCGCTTCAACCAGGGCGGCAATAAACAAAAAGAGCTTAGCGAGGAGCAGAAACACTTGTGCTAAGACCACCCCCTGATGGTGCGCAAGGGTGTGCTCACGCTTTTGTTGTGCTGGATAGCTTCCGACTATGGAGTCTCATGGTACAGTCAAGAATCTTCGGAAGCCACATTGAGTACGGGCGGGCACGACCAACGGTCGCACACTCACTTCGTGTACAACATATCGTATCCACGTGCCTGGCGAGCGTGGACGTATCCCTCAGCCAGCCGATGCCGCATGCAGGCCTCCATGGGTTTCCCCAGTACCCCGAGGGAGAGCCTTGAGACTGCGGCGCAAGTGGCATGCTTGCAACATACTGACGAACCCCCAGCAGATCCGGATCGGCGCCCTCAGCGCCAACGGTACCTCGTGGTGGACGTCGGAGGCCAGATCCAAGCTGGCGCACATCGTGGAGAGGCTCAGAGCAGAGAAGTGCCATGTTTTTTTTATCAGCGATTTGACAAACCCGAGCTGGCCGTATCAGGAAACACCACAGCCAGTCATTGTTGCTCTGGAGGAATATACTATGTTTGTATGTGGCAAAGTCGGTATAATCTTGTCGAGGTATACGGTAGAAAAGTGGCGTGCTGCAGGTTCCGAGCTTCGTGTGATTCCCGACTCGGACATATGGATTGTACTAAGAGTATGTATTCGAGGTTTCTTCTATGTGATTATTGCTCAGTGCACTCCACAGCAGAACCCAGCTTGGGGACTGAACCGACGAGCCCAGCATTTCCAGGAAGGCAGCCTGATGATCAGCAGGTTGCGACGATCGGGAGATCATATTATTGTAGGAGGCGATTTCAACTCTCATCTTGGCGAGACGGACAGATCGTGTGGATTTCTTGGCAAATATACCAACCGTACCGCCACCTCGAAGATGAGCCATCAGCTTCAGCAGTTTGGAGACGAGGAGGGCCTGGTCCACGTGGACTCGAGGCTCCCGCTCGCACATCGAGGGACGTTTTACCACAATGTTGCGAAGACATGGTACGAGCTCGACGTATTTCTTTCTTCGTTTGGTACGCCGACCAGATGGCGGAACCTGAAGACGGTCGCTTTCGGTCTGTGCAATCACAGAGGCAAGTTTGTATCCTTTTTACCCTTTGGACGGATGACGAAGCAGGAGCTTCAACATATCAGAGATCCAACCCGAGCTGTTCCCCGTCACCCGGTTCTCTGGTCTCAAGCTCGTGGCGTCGGCGACGAAGCAGTGCGGGAGAAGTGCCACCAGAACCTCATCGACGCACGGGCGACCACGACGTCGGGGGCGGCTAGGCGAGACGTGTCGAGTATTTCTCTTACAGCAGCGGAGGCGGCATGCGGCCGCGGTCAGAGGCAATGCGGCATACCGGCGCTGGCGGAGTGCATGCCAGATGTGCTCAAGAGCAAGCAGAGAGTGGCCGACAGTTACGCATCGCACTGTGCGGCACGGAGCACCCCCATCGAGCGTCAGGCGCTCGCGAACTATCGGGTGACGAAGAAGATAGAGAGACAGTTCGAGCGCGATCTCAAAAGCAAAGCCATCACCAGTCTGCGCCAGCAGCTCGAGCGGGCGGTGGCCAACCACGAGATGGGGAAATCTTATTCTTTGTTGCGAGAGCTTGGCGTTTATATCAGCTACGACTGGATCAAGGATGTAGAGCAGGTCAAACCCGGCGACTGCCGCGAACATTTCCAGAAGATCAGTGGTGTGACGGCTGTCCCGATGGTCGATGTATCCAGCGATCTAATCCAGAAGCCTGTGTGCGAGTCCTTGGACGACATCCCCACCTTCGAGGAGTTCCTTGTCACAATCAAGGGTGCGAGGGTCTCTGCTGCAGGCGAGGACGAGGTCCCAACCGACATGATCAGACAGGCGCCAGTCGAGGAGCAGAGGGCCGTCTACGACTTGATCTGCAGGATGCGGTCGGAGGCGAACCTAGACGGGCCCCGGCCTCACTGGAAATTTCCGCTCACGAAGCGATTGTTCCCATGCTGTACAATGAAAAAGGTTCGAGGACAGACCTGAACAATTACAGAGGAATCTGTTTGCTCAGTATGATTACTCGTATCTTGGCGCGCTTGGCAGTCAGGCGAGCAGAGAAGTACCTCGAGGGTCTGTCCTTCTTCGAGAAGGAACAGTCGGGCTTCAGGCACGGTCGTTCTACCATTTTTTTTTTAAAAAAAATAACAAAAACATCGCGCGTATCATGTGCGAACTGTATGCCGATTGGGGGAGATTGTTATTAGTCCAACGCTCCGAGTACCAGAGTGCGGGTACTTGGGGCAGGCCGCCTGGACGATAGCATATCAGTAGTTTCAGAACAGTCAGGCAATATTGTATCTGGCAGATAGTCAGAAAGCGTATCCAACCGTTCCCCGAGAACCCCTTTGGCGCGCCGAAGGAGGGGCTTCCGCCGAATGTTGTGTCGATCTTCAAGCGACTTCACGGCGAGACGAGCTACCACGTGCGGCTCCACTTCGGGGAATCGGACCCATATCTTTCGTATCGTGGACTGCGAGAAGGATGTGCCAGCTCTTGCACGTTGTTCAATTGTTATAACAACTACTCCTTGCGTGTTTTGAAGGAGGTATTGCCCGGCATGGGCCTCGAGATGCCCCCGTCTCTTCGGTGCTCGCTTGGGCGCGGGGCCAACTGGCGAAACGACGAGGCCGCAGCTTCAGTGGATTTCAAAGTCGCGGGCTTCGCCGACGACACGTCCGCGTGGACCACCGTGCCGCAGTCTCAGGAGACGGTGGGCCTAGTTGGAAAAGTACTCGGGGACCGAGAAGAAAAAAGGTCCATCCTGGCAAGGACGAGTATTTGAGAGCGGGGGTGTACGACGTTTCACAGTCTCTCCCAGCTGGCTTTCACCACTCTGTTCGAGTACTAGGCGGGTGGGTAGATACGGGCGGAGGATCGAGGACAGACACTTCGAAAAGGATGCAAGCAGCGTCCAGGGTTTGGGTGAAATTGCGATGCCAGCTTGGGGCGCCCAAACTACCTCTCAGAATCCAGGGCCAAATATTCCAGGCGCCAGTAATTGGGCGTCTACTGTATGGGGCCGAGGTCCGAGCATTCCACCAGAAGGACATCGATCGATACCAAACGTTCGCAGGCCGGTGTGTCAGATATTTAGCGCATCGAGCTCGTGGAACCACCCTTCGTATAGTGGAAGAAAAAACACATTCCCATGGGCGTAATCTATGGGCGGTTCGGCCTGGACCTCACCGAGACCCAGATCATCATCAGAGCCCTCTCTTATCTAGGCCATCTTGAGAGGTACTCTCGGGAGCGGTGGGAAGTAGGAATGCTTGGAGCCGAACTCAGAGATGGTCCTGGGGCTCTAGCACCCGACAGCAGACGCATAACATTACGCCGCTGGTACTGGAAACACATTCAGGTATTGATGAAGTTCAGCTCCAAGCCCGAGCCTCAGTGGCACAAAGATTGGTTTCAATTGGCTCGCGAAGAGAATGGCCAGCAGTGGAGGAAGCTTTGCGATCTTGTGAAGCAAGACCTCCGAGGGCGTCTCAGGTCGGCACGGCCGCCAGAAGCCGACCGACCCCTCGAGGAGAGGCCATCTCTCGCAGCACAGGCCCCAGAAGCGGGCACAGCGTACGCAGGTACTTTGAGAGTTTGTCCGAAGTGCCAAGACTTTATTCCGTGCAATGGTTATCCCAAGCACGTGCGTTTCTGCGCTGGGGCGATGCGCCCAGACCGTCAGCGAATCATATGCAACGCCTCGGCCTGTTCAAAATGTGGATCCCTGGTGCATCGAGCTTCGTGCGACTCCCATGTGGCCAGATGCCGGGGGGTGATATCTTTGCGGCGCCCAGCTGCTGCTGCTGTCCCACTTCCTTCCCCAGCGTCGGTTATTCGACGCCGTCTTCGAGGGAAGCAGGTGGTGGGGGCTCCAAGGAGGACTCGAATGAGATCGACATCGGCTTCGACGATATACCCTCCTCCTCTCGGTCCTGTAGCCCCAGTGCTGATCCAAGAAGCCCCCCCCGCCTCTGCCCGTCAAGAACCGTCGCGCACTTCAGCAAGCACAAGCCAAAGCGAAACGGGCCCCTCGAAAGACAAAAAGCGAAACTGGGTACAGCTTTGCCTGCATATACTGCGGAGAGCTAGCAAGTTATGCAAATCATATATACGATTGTGCCAAAGCTCCATGGGAACTATGGCTGAATGGGGTCCAGCAACGCATCAAAGCACGCGACAAGAAACGTACCCCCGAACAGGTAACCTCCTGGACCGACCGATGTCATGTCGCCAAGCACTGCAATTTATACAAGAACAGACGTATTCAGAGCAATCTCCCTGTGTGACAGTTTGGCTCAACAGCGAGCCTCTTGTTGTGTGTTGCAAGTGCACTACGATATGCTCGAGGTCCTTCGTTCAAAGATTGCCGATGGAGGAGCGGCCGCTGGTTCGGAGGTTCCGAAAGAAGCCCGTGGTGCTGGGCCCTCCCCGAAGGCTGCGACGACTAAGACTGTCGTCAACAAGCTCATTCCTATTGTTGTGTCTCTCGATCGTCGTGTTGCCACTTCTGAGGGCAGAGCTTCCTTCGTATGCGTGGTCAAGAAAGATGATGCCAAGAAAGAGCTCGAGCAGTTGCGCATGTTATGGAAGTCAGAGGAGAAGGGGCGCCGCGCTGCTTTCGACAAGGCCAAGGAGTCCGACGTGCAGGGCGCCAAGCTCACGCCTCACAGCCTGGGCGGAGGTCTCCGCTCCGTCCTTGTCAAGACCATGCTCGAGCAGATCGGCCGCGCCCTTCAGGGCAAGCTGTCCGAGGGTGATGCCAAAGTGGTCAAGTACCTGTCGGATCTTAGCGCGGCCGAGCTCGACGCGCAGTTGTTTCGGGCCAAGCCGAGGCGCCCCACGTGAGAGGCCCGGCGCCCCTGGGTGTGGGGCTTCATGCTCCAGGAAGAGAAGTCTCCCGACTTCACCCGCGCCCTGCGGGCGTGCTGCAGCATCAAGTGCGAGGACCTCTTCATCGCAGCTCAGCACGCTCTCGACGGGCCGCTTCTTAAGTGGCTGCTGCAGTTCAAGCGCAGCGCCAGTGATGATGCAGATGAGGAGCCCGAACCGAGACGTCGTAAAGTTGCCGGGCGCTGAGCAGTCTGGCCCCAGTCCCCTTCGGGGGCCGCGGGGCTCCGAGCCCAGGCCCACTCGTGGGCCGCCAGTTTTGCATGCAGTTGCCAGTCCCTCCACAAGTTCTGTTGCTATCCTGGCGGGGGCTCCGCCTACCTGGCCATTGGGCTTCATGAGCTTCAGGATGGTTATTGTGGGGAATGTTTGTTTGGCACTGTGGTGGTATCGGGACTCGCCCCAATGGTTGTTCACGAGTCTCGCGCGAGGAACAAAAACAGGATATCAAGGAAGCGTTCGATCTGTTCGACACAGACGGCTCGGGCGAGATCGATTCGAAGGAGCTGAAGGTTGCAATGCGCGCCTTTGGTTCCGAGCCGAAGAAGGATGAGATCCAGAATATGATCTCCGATGTGGATGGCGACGGGAGCGGGGCGATCGGGCACGAGGAGTTCTTTAAGATATGACGCACAACATCCTGAACCGAGACCCCAAAGACGAGATCTTGAAGGCGTTCAGGCTCTTCGACGACGACGAGACTGGGAAGATTACTCTCAAGAACCTGAAGCGTGTCGCGAACGAGTTGGGCGAGCGGATGACGGACGAGGAGCTGCAGGAAATGATCGACGAGGCCGACAGGGGCGGCGACGGGGAGGTGAACGAGGAGGAGTTCCTCCGCATTATGAAGAAGACCAACCTGTTCTGAGGTGGCATTCGCCCCCAGGCTACGTCCCTCAACTTCTGCGGCACGGTGTCCTCCCGGCGGTGAGGGATAGGGCCCAGTGGAGGATGATGAAGACGAAGGGGGGGAGGAGTGGGGGGGGAGGAGGACGAGGAAAAAAGAGGAAAAGGAGGTGGAGGCGGAGAAGGTAGCTGAGACTGATTAAGCGAGCGCGCTCTCACCTGCGTGTGCGTTTGCGGTGCATTTTGCGAGTGGGGCCACACTCGAAATTCGTGTCACACGGGGGCGGTGCCGTTTGACCGTTTGCCTGTTGCTGCATGCGCAAAATCACGGGCTGCCCACGAAGGGCCCGACCGCCCGCCAGCAGAGAGCAGGACGTGCACACACGCGACAGGCTTCTGCCAGGTGAGGAGCCGAGCCGGTCTGCCCCCCGGCCCCCCCCCCCGCAGCTCTCCTTGTCGTGGACGGGTGTATGCGTCGCTGTCTCGGGCGACGGCCCGATGTGCAACTTCCCGGCAGGTGGTGGTCGTTGGCGGCCAGTGGGCTGAACACGATGGCCTGGAAGGGCGCACGGCTCTCCCGCCAGAGGTTCGCACTCGGCTACACCTCCCGCCCGTGGCCGTCCAGGCGGGGGCCCCACAGGAGCCCGGCCCACAAGAGCACCAGGCTCACCCGTGGTCTCGGGCCCCTGCGAGGAGGCCCAGGAGGAGCCCAGTGAACCTTGGCATTCTCGGGGCGGAGGCAGAGATTTCGTGCTCCTCGTCTCTCTCTCTCTCTCTCTCTTTCTCTCTCTCTCTCTCTCTCTCTCTCTCTCTCCCTATTTTTTTTGTTTTTGTTTCTCTCTCTCTCTCTCTTTGTTTCTCTCTCTCTCTTTCTCTCTCTTTCTCTCTCCTCTCTCTCTCTCTCTCTCTCTCTCTTATACATATAACGGCGCACCGGGTCCGGGGGCCCGGGGCCGGGACCCCGACCACAAATGTGGGCCCCGGGGGGCCCGGAGGCTCGTCGGACCGCCGGACGCCGTCCAAGATCGTTCGCAGGCGGCTTCGGAACACGCTCCGATGGCTCCAGATGCCTTCCAAGACTCCTGTCATGACACCAAGAAGGTCCCAGAAGCCTCCAAGACGCTCCGAGAGGCAGCCCAAGAGAGGCCCAAGAAGCAAAAATCGTGCCATTCCTATGGGAAAACGTATAGTTTTCGCATGTTCGCCTCTTGGGCTTTCACCGCGTCCAAGACGGCCCAAGAGGCGCCCAAGACGGTCTACGAGGCCTCCGGGAGCGCTCCAAGGCTGCGCACGAGTGGCCCAGGACGGCCCCAAGACGGCCGAAGAGAGCCCCAAGACGAGTTCGAGAGGGGTCCCAGACGGAGAAAGCCAACCTCGAATTCCGAGCTTCCGGCCCAAGAGGCTCCAGGAGGCGCCAAAATGCCGCCAAGAGGCGCCAAAAGGCTCCCAAAAGCACCCCAAGACGTTCCGAGAGGCACCCCAAGAGAGGTCCAAGAAACAAAAATCGTGCCATTCCTATGGGAAACGTATATTTTTCGCATGTTCGCATTTTGGGCTTTCACCGCGTCCAAGACGACCCAAGAGGCCTCCAAGACGGCCTAGGAGGCCTCCGGGAGCGCTCCAAGGCTGCGCACGAGTGGCTCAGGACGGCCCCAAGACGGCCCAAGAGAACCCCAAGACGACTTCGAGAGGGGTCCCAGAAGGAGAAAGCCACTCTCGAATTCCGAGCTTCCGGCCCAACATATCCCAGGAGGCGCCAAAACGCCGCCCAGAGGCGCCAAAAGGCTTCCAAAATCAGCCCAAGACGTTCCGAGAGGCACCCCAAGAGAGGTCCAAGAAACAAAAATCGTGCCATTCCTATGGGAAAACGTATATTTTTCGCATGTTCGCATCTTGGGCTTTCACCGCGTCCAAGACGGCCCAAGAGGCCTCCAAGACCGCCCCAAGACGGCCCAAGAAGCTTCCAAGAGGGCCCCAGGACAGCCCAAGAGGGCCCCAAGACGGCCCAAGAGGCGCCCAAGATGGCCCAAGAGGGCCCCAAGACGGGCCCAAGAGGGGGCCCAGAGGGGGACCACGAACCTCAAGCTCGAGCCTTCCGCCCCAAGAGGCCGCCAGGAGGCCCCAAGGAGGCCCCTCAAGAGGCCCCAGGAGACCCCCAAGAGGCCCAAAGGAGGCCCCGAGAAGCCCCAAATCGGCCCCAAAAATGCTTCGAACCTGCTTCCAGGAGGCCCCCGACAGGTTCAAAGGCTCCCGAGAAGCTACGTCAAACTCCCAGCGAGCGGCCGGACGAGGCCCCCCTCAAAATCACAAGAGGGTTCCAGTATTTGTATCCTTCAGCGCTCTCTGGCCTTCTTCCCCCTGCCCCCTTCCCTGCGACTTTCGTTGACTCAAGCTCTCCTCCTAGCTAGAACCTAAGCGCGCG